GTTCCCCAGGATACTCTAAAGAGCAAGGGACGAGTGCTGAGTAATCAGTGTGGCTCCATCCAAAACTTTTCCAGCCTGGCTCAGCCTTGTAGGGCCTAAGCTTAGATATGGGTGCAGTCAAACTGATTTCTTTATACTCTCTTTCTCAGTGCTTCAGCTCAAGAAGTAGCTTACTAGTTCGGTGTCAGCATGGCAAGAATGAGCTTGAATCACTGTCCCGTGAGGCTGGCAGTGCAGGAGTACCTGATGCGGTGACAGTTCTAACAGTGCATGGAGCCAGCCCGTGGAGATGCTGCTGAGCTGGTATTGGAGGTTCTCCTAGAATGAAAACAGTTCTGGATGTCTACTTCTGAGGCAGTGCTGTCCTGTATTACCCATGTAAGCAGAACCTTGATAACCAAGCAATTTGAAAATGCATCTGAATACCAATTAAAAGTAGTGTCTTCTTCCAGGTGTTTCTTTGCTGAATCCAGGCTGTAGACTGCCACTTGGCCATCCTTGATCTGTAGTTCCTTGTAGCCAAATTCTTTGGTTACCATGGTGTGATACTTTTAGCCAGTTTTGCCATCCTGTCTTAAATAATTTCCAAGTTCTGCAGATGATACTTCCATTACTTCTTGCTTCCTAATACCAAAATGCCAAAAAAACAGTGTTCTACTCAGTTTAGTAATGTTAACGCAAAGCTTGGGTTGAGATTCCTGGAGATAGATGGTTGGAGATCCAGAGGATTCAGTTTCAAGCTGTTACACTTCTCTTGCACTGTCCCCATTCAGACTCATTTCTTAGGGACTGTATCCAAACCAATAAACTCTCATCTTGCACTTTGTCTCTCATGAATTTGGGAGAACAACAAGAATTTCTCTTTACCCCAAAGGCAAGAAGGGGCTCAGGACCAAAATTAGATCTTAATTAAGTCAAAGCTTTTATTCATGCTTTCAAATTCAGGGTAGTGGAATTTTGTTTCAGGCTCTGTTTTGCAGCTCTTTGCTTGTGAGATATTTTGCCAAAAAGTGACACTGCTTTATGGCTTATCTACAGGATGACCATGACTTGGGACCTTTGCCTAAGGAGGCACATTTGGGCTCTTTGACTGCAGAAAAGGATGCTCTAGGCTGAAGACAGAGTTAGTCTCCCCGAAAAGCACCAGATTTCGGTGATGGAGCTTAAGGCAGCTTAAGAGAGCAGTAAAAGGCACAACAAAGAATCAAACTGAAGTTTCCCAGATGCCTCCTGTGCAGCCTGTTGGGCCTCACACTTGGCCAGAGCGAGGGTAGTTGAAGCTGGTGCGTCTGTCCAAGAAGGAACGTGTGTGAAGCTGTTTCCATCTTGTGGGATATCCTGTCCCTGTTGCACTGATATGCAGGGTGGGAACAGTTAGGCCACATTTTCCTCCTTTTGGAGAATAATCGTATGTTCTTGTATTCAACTGTGAAAGTGTGTTTGGCCAGCTGTGGATTAAAAGGAAATGTTCAGTCCCTGAATCCCTCCTTTGCATCATTTTTGAGCAATTTAATGACAGAAAAGACAGTTCTCTGTGTTCTTAGGTTCACTACTGGACTTGTGTGAGAAGGTGGCATGTCCCTGGAGAACTGTGCATAACTACTATATAATGACTGCGGTTCTTCTGGTAGGTTTTTTCTGTAAAGGCAATAGAGCATCTTCACTGCTGCCACTGATTTGAAGCCCAGACACCTGACGGTAAATGAATTGCCTCAGAGTCCCTTGTTGCCCATGGGTAGCAAGAGTTGACTCTACGTGAAAACGTGATCTACTGGGTAACTCTGAGAATCCTTCCAGAAGGATGGATCTTCTGTGAGCCAGAGTGACTGTGTGGTACGTCGGGAATTAAACTGACTAGATTATAATTTGCCTTTGCAGTTATGCCGCTTGCAAATACGTGGTAATATTTATCCAGCTGTTACATTCGCTGTAAGGGTGGGCAGAGGAAGAAAGATTCCTTCCCTGCTGCCCCTCCAAAAGAAGGGGAAAAAAAAAAAAAAAAAAAAAAGCAGGCAGTAGCATCTCAACTGCAGCTGAAATGTCTTGTCCTGTACCAATGAGGACGCAATTCTTGGCAACATTAAGATTCTCAGAGAATATTTACACTTCCGTATTAAGTAGAAATCAGCAACTTAGAAGTTTGAGAAAGAATGCAGCTCCTTTATTTAAGGTTCACAACTTTTTTTTTTTTTATTTTGCCTTCTCTGGCATACTGAGGGCAGCACAGCCTGTTTAAAAAAAATTAAAATTATGGAGTAGCAAAATAATGCAAACTATTCTAATGTAGGATAATAGAACAAAATCTCGGAGAAGGTATGTTCTTGTGAAATAAGTATGTGTTTTGCCAATAAAAATCCTATGCCTGTTGGGCAGCCTGTGCTTCAAAACTTGACGTGTAGTGGAGTCAGTTCAGTGTATTAATGTGTATTATAACTGTAATACCATTCGATGATGCACAGTTGAGAGGTGGGTCTTGGAAATTTGCTGGTCCCTCTCCTGGGAGCATGGAGGGAGGGTAGGAGATGGGTGCAGGGAGGAGAGGCTTTGTTCCATCCCGTCGCCCTGGCAGGGTGGAGGGGGAACAGTCGTGGTATCTGATGCCTGTGGAGGAAAAGAAATGTGTAAATTCTGTCAGACAAGTAGGGCTTGTTTTTTAAAATAACATATTCAAAGATAAGTGCTACGAAAATAACTCGTTTACTGATAACTTTATCTACTCGGAAGATGAAAATTTAAGTGAAAAATGGACTTAATCTGGGTAGCGTAACGCTTACCACTGGTGATAGGAGAATTGGTAACGCAGTTTGGGATTGACAAAGCGAATGCCGTACTTATCACGGCAGACTTCTGCGTTGTGTTGTCTTGCGACTTAGTGTAACAAATCAGATTAAACTCTCTAGAAACGCTATCTTAAATGTGCTGCTTCCCTGTGCAGCAGAGTCTTTGGAAAATAGTGCAAGTTGAGCCGCTTTTGATGCCTGTGCTTGAGTACAAGCTCTTGTCAAGGAGTTGGGTGGAAAGAAAAAGTAAGTTCTGGAAGGTGTTAGGGACTCGGCACGGTACAGTGACTGTGTACCAGTGCGGATAAGTGCATTTGGGATGTGCTGTAGCCCACTGTCAACCATTCCTGAACTGGAAAGCCTCTTCCAGCTGCAGGGTGGGACAGAACTGATGGGCCCTGGAGCACCAGGGAGGCTGAGTATGTGGTGAAGCTTTTTCAAATCCTTCACGTTCAGCTGCAGGTCCCAGGTGGGTTGGTGTCTGCTTGGGCAGGGCAACGGATGGCTGTGCCTGGAAGCTGAAGATCGGACTGCATAGCCGTGTGGGTTTAGCCAGTGCATCCCACTGCCAGGGGACATGCGTTAGGCTCGTAGGGCATTTGTTCAGTTGTTTCTTACTCTGTACTTAAAAACTTTTAACCTTACTGCTAAAGAAAAATACCATTGTCTGTTAGTACAACTGGAACGAAAGATGAATAGCGAATTAGCCTTGAGCAAACTGTCAATCTGACTTTGATAGCCCATCACTTAAAAGGTCCTTTTATGTTTATGAAAAAGCATGACGTCAAAGCCAGGGAAAAAAAAATAATACCGATATTTAGGGCTAAACTTGCATAGCTTCCAGTAAGAACCCCTTGTGAACTGTTTGTTTCTCTACATGCATGGCTAATTAGCATAGGTTACTATAAGTCTGAGCAGTGGCGTTCAAGTTTCTTCTGCTGTTTTGGGGTAGCTTGTTCATGGTGCTTCCGTATGCGAATCCCTCAAACTGGAGTAGCATAGAGCAAAGGATATTTGCAGTCGCTTCTCTTGCAACCTAGAAGTAGTATGCTGGAAATGCTGGAGTATAATCATTATCAGGTGAGTTGTTATTGCAGACTTATTTTAAAACCTGTTGCTAAGAAGTCTTTACATTATAGGGGAAATCCTTTTCCTCTGGTATCTAGCGTGCTTTATTTAATTTCGTTCACAGAAATAAGTGGGGAACATATGCGGTCGCTTGTAACAGCAAAAGTCACTTTAATGGAACTGTTTTAAAAAACTTCTCAGAGTATTATTATATTTTGGTTTGTTTTCTACCTTCCCATAAAAATATTAATGATCAAAGAAAGGTGATGAGTTTCCAGGATATGGTGGAAAATTTTGCATGGAAAAAAGCCTGCCTTTCTTCTCTTGCTTATTTAGGGTGCATGAGAGTTGTTTGGTATGAAGTTTTTCATATTTTGTATATAAAAGAATTCTAAGTACTGAAAAGCTTATCTTAAATACAAAAATAGCTGTTGCTGAGGACAGTGATTGATCTGAACCGAAACACTTCTCTTCTTGCATCTTATTTGCATAATGTGTTTATAAACAGGCTGTCTTATTTGTATATGATTTAGGCCATATATCTGAGATATAAATAATTTGTAGGCAAAAAAAAAAGCGTATTCCTTTTTTTTAACCAATGTGTTACTTTAAAAAAAACAAAAACAAAAAACAAAAACACAAAACAAACCAAAACCTAGAAAACCAACAACAAACCTTTTGATCTCTCTGTTACTTGACATCTGATAAAGGATAGCAATCCATACTGTCTGGTTTTAATTGGTAGCTACTAACAAGTAAAATGAGTCCTGCAGTGCAACTTGGTTTGTTTCTCTGTATTTTAGTGATAACAGCTGAAGGTCTGAAGGGAGAACCGTCTGTTCCGAAGTATCTGTATAAACTGGGAAATCTGAGCGTTGGTCTTCAGTGCGAAATCTCATGTTGTAGAAAAATAAGTGGAACTCCTTGGCTTACTGTTAATAAGTCAGTTATTGAAACAGTAGCTCATAGACTGATTTTTTGCAATCGAATGTGAATTAACGAAGCGCTGTTGACTTCCTTGGAGCCGTACAGGGTTGTACTTAAAGTCAAATGCTTAGCTGGTATATAATGTCACAAATGTATGGCTTAAATCAACGGCATGTATAAGGATGTTGTAAAACAATAAAGCACTTCTTGTATTGTCTCGTACAGGTGCAGACTCACCTTGAGAATCCAACCAAGTACCATATTCAGCAAGCCCAGCGGCAGCAGGTAAAGCAGTACCTCTCTACCACTCTAGCAAATAAACATGCCAACCAAGCCCTGAGCTTGCCATGTCCAAACCAGCCCGGTGATCATGTCATGCCGCCTGGAACTGGAAGCAGCGCGCCCAACAGTCCGATGGCTATGCTTACCCTCAACTCCAACTGTGAGAAAGAGGTAATACGCTCTTCAGTGAAACGGAATTGCACCCTGCTTTCTTTTTGTTTTAAACCCTATTTGGTCATTGTTAAGATGTTACGTTTACCTTCTTTTCTGAACTGTTCCCTCTGAAAATGCAACTACTACCTCTGTGTCTGCCTGATTAATATATATTTGCATAGAACCAACCATTTTGGCAAAAAAACTGCGTCCCTCTTAACATCCTCTTTTGAACTATTTTAGCTAGTTTATGCTTATTAAAACTACTCCCCCACCCCGCCGTTGCTTGATGCACGCAGTCAGTAATTGACCTTTGGAGAATACAAAGCAGTTTTGTAAGCTGTAGCTTTCTGGAATAATGTTATTTATGGCTCATTCATGTAGAAAGAGCAAAGAGCATAGCAAAAATAACTGAAAAACACGAAGCTTTTTGAGATATTTTAGGTATTTTTTCCATAAAATTTGAGCAAGTCTCCTGCTTAACTGAAAGGCCAGATTATCCCAGCTAATATACCTGAAAATGTTACTGATTGCTGTTTCCTGATGAGCTCAGGGCTGCAAATACAAGACTTCGGTAGTCTACGCCTAGAAGTCCTTCGCAACCTTGTCTTAATCTTTGCTGGCAAAAACTCAATTGGATGTTACATGTGTGCTCAGGTGCTAAAGGAAAATGATTTGAAAGATGATAACAAGTGTGAGAATCACACCAATGTTTTTGTACCATGACAAATGGGAGGCAATTGTAGATAGAGCTCCTCGTGTCCCCCCGTCCTCCCTCCTCAAGCCTTTGTGCCAGATTTTTAACAGTTATTACAGAACATATTTTGCGCGTGCAAGAGAAATTACTTGTGCTCCATAGTTTCAAAGGAAGTGAAAAATCAAATAGTCCCATCCTATCATCCCAGTTGTACCCAAATCTTTTTTTTTTTTTCCTCAAGATATTTACAGCTTCACTTTGCTGTGTCATCAGGCACGTGTGTGCATGACACTGTTTCAGTTGTGCTCTTTTTGGGACTGGGACTGTGCCATGAACTCAGATCCATGCTTTGCTTTTTTTTTTTTTTTCTTTTTCTTTTTTTCCTTTTTATTTCTGCAGGGATTTTATAAATTTGAAGAGCAAAGCAGGGTTGAGAGTGAGTGCCCGGCTCTGAATACACACTCACGAGCATCATGCATGCAGGTACTGGATGACACAGGAGTTGGAGCACAGGTCCCCTTTCTAATGAGCATGTTTCTTTGAATTGATGTTGAAGAATAAAATTGCCCCGTATTGTCTTTAAGAAGTTGAATGTAAGATATATTTAAGGAACAAACCAACAATGTAGTTTGTTAGCATTGATGTCAAAAGTGCATTAAGACAGCCGAAGAGGGCTGGTGCATTTCTAGCACTGTAACACTATAGGAGAAGGACATATCAACCATGCTTTAAGACCTCACTTTAGGACATCTTTTCTAATGCAGTTTTCCCAAGGCTGCATGTATGTGTTCTTGTCCTGATAGTTTCTAAGACCACATTTAAAAAACAAACAAAAAAAGAAGTCTTTAATCCATTTGTGGTAATTCATCCTTGGTAGTCATCTCCCCCCCCTTTCTTCCTTTCTTTTAAACTAAGGGGGTTTTATGTCTAGTGACGAAACTTCAAATATGGGCTTGTAACTGTCAGTTCCTTTCTTGCCCTTACTTCCAGTCAGTGCAATTTGTTCTGATCACACTTTCTGGAGCTGATACAAAAATCCTATACACTACTATTTCTACCGTCAGTGTTATGCACTGATTTTGTAGATGACTGTCACTTAAGCTCCTTTTTTATAGTAAGCAAAAAGGAAATAGTCAATCCTGCAGGACAGTTTGGAGCGCCTGCGTGGGTGATTTGGAGGGCTCGGTTTCTCCGGACTGCGCAGGAGCCTATGGAGGCACCTTCCAGCCCAGCCCCAGAAAGAAGATGGCTTGCACCACCTAAAATCATCTCCAAGCTGCTCTTGGGTGGTGCTTCCTGGGAAGGTGTACGAGGAATGTGAATCCAACGGATTCTGTTGTCGAGGGCGGGCAGCCTGTCACCCAGCAGCAAGCCTTTGTTCCCTCACCTTCCCCTGCAGATGTCGGGGCAGGAGCCTTCCTGCCTGTGGGCAGGTTTGCACCCCACCACTAGAGGAAGGAGATGGAGGGCAGTCAGGCAGTGCTCCACAGGGCAGAGGAATTCACATTGTTAGCGTAGTTCGTTCTGCAGGGAGCCATCTCCTCCGCTGTTCCCAGGAGGAGCAGTATGTCCGTGGGCAGGTACTGCAGGGTAGCTGCTGGTGGGAGGAGCGGGTTAGGCCACGAAGCCTTAGCTTTGGCATGACCTGACTGTCCTGGCTGAATAGCATGGTCACGGCTGATTGGATTTGGAGTGTGGCAAAACTGCACAAGCGCCTCTGCTTGGGCCCGTGCTGCAGAGAGATGGTGTGTGGCTCTGTATCCTAATGCTTTTGTAACTGGTTTATTTTTCTTTGTCCACCTTTTCTGCTGCAGATGGATGATGTGATCGATGACATCATTAGTCTGGAGTCAAGTTACAATGAAGAAATCCTTGGCTTGATGGACCCAGCCCTGCAAATGGCAAATACGGTACAACGGTCCTTTCCATTTGGTTTCCCTGTTAAGTCTTATTGTCCTTCCTCATGAGGATGCAAACCTGTAGCATGACTTCTTCTCTAAGCAATTAAATAGTTATTGTGTTGTCCCACAGAGGATATTTAGGATTTCTTTGAAGAGCTTAAGGTATACGGTTGCAATGAAAAACATTAACGTAAAAACACAAGCTGGAGTCAGGTTGAGGGAGTACAAAGGACAATTTTGCTTTTTGTATCTCAAAGTCCAGTTAGTCAGGGAGAGGATTGTAACAGAGGAGTGAACTGGGCTAACAGGAGCGAGCTCATACCCATCAATATTAAAGATCACCGTGGGCATTACGCTTGACTTCAGAAAGCCTAGAAGGAACGTCTGGCGCCCCAGGTTCCCCTCTCTTGTCATGTTCAAGTAAGGAATTGTACACCACGCTTAAGCCTATGTTGGCGTTCCTATCCAAAGCTGCTCTAGTTTAACTGTTAGCTCTAACATTACAGCTTCAGCTTATCCTGATTTCAGATGGAGAGAGTCCCTAGCTAGATGACAGCAAAGATGTTACAAAATTTAGGGGGAGGAAAAAAAAGTTAAGAAAACCAAAACAACCTTCAAAACAAACAAAAGGGGAAGGAATAAAGAAGCTTAAAAACTGAACGGGGGAGGGGGATGTAGGAAGCCTGTGACAAAAGACAAGAACACGGAGGTGCGAAAGGTGGTAAGCGAGGGAAGGCGCGTGTTACCTCTGAGTTGCTGTTTCTGTTTGCTGGTTCACATTGCTGTGAGCATTAATATAATCGTGCTTCTGGCATCATCTTATTTTGGTCTTTTGTGGAGGGTAGCTCCAGTGAATTTTTTTCTTTTGGGCTTAAGTGCTGTTAGATCTGGCCGAGATGTCTGCCAGTGCTGGCATCTGTTTCTTTTTTATCTAGTGCCAAAATTTACAGCTTACCACACTGCATCGATTTTTGTAGCGTAGGTTTACATTTGCTGACAGTAGTCGTCTGATGTCATGTTAACCTTGTCCTGTGCTCCCACAGATGCCACAGCCCTCTCGGAGACATGGTGCGTGCCGCAGGGAACGGCCGGCCAGCGTCCCTTGCTAAACAGTGCCCTTTGAGTAGACAGGGAAATAAAGGCAGAGTCCTACCTGAAAGAATGAGTTTTCCTTTAATCTAAGATGACTTCAAAAGTTCATCTGTCCTGGAGTTTGAGAGGAAAACTTAAAAACCCATGAAAGGATAGTTTTTTTTTTTTTTTTTTTTTTTTTTGTTAATTGAGGGTTCTGGTTCTTCTGGAGTCCTTTCTCTGAAATTCCATTGGATTGGGACCTATTAAACTAGAGGGGACTTGGATTTCTTTGTGCTTTTCTTCCTCTCTCATTTCACAGGGACCCCAGCAGTGGCTCTTTGCTTCCAGGCAAGGACATAATGGTACTCTGCACTCTTTTGGTGGAAGGAGTCCGTGTAGTCAATATTTAGGGTAGCCTGCATCCCTCCTGCTTTCTGCATGAGGACAAACCTTGTAAAGGCTGCCTGCTCCACATGTGTTGTGAAATTTCATAAATTGCCCACTGTATGTGGTGAAGCCTGTAAAATAAGGAAATGGAATAGTAAAATTAAGACTTCTTTACTAATACAGTTAAACTGCTGAAGGCAAAAAGCATATTGCAGTCTCTGAATTAACCTGATACCAATCCAGAAGAGATGGAAATCAAACCATGTTTCCCAACAATTGGCTTGGGGGGGGGGGAAGAACCTGATGTAACAGACACTTTTCTTTTGGAACAAGATTTAGCTCTTAAAGCACACCACATTTTACTTTTACTAACAAGGAATTAATGTCTGTAGACTGAGCGAAGTAGAGGTGGAAGAAATCGAGAGAGGAAATGGTCTCTAAAGAGACACAATCTATAAATAGCTGTGCTAAGACTATGACAAAGGCTGCTATTGTTCTATAACCAACAAAGAATAAAAGGACCGGTTTGTTACATTTGGTAACAGTACTTAATTGATAAGCAAAATCGGAGATTTCTGTGTAGAGCGACCTAAGGGAAGTTTCCAAGTACCTCTTAATTGAAAAGGGCTTATTGCAATCAACTGCTTGTGGAAGTGTTTGTAAACTTCGGTATTGGGTCACAAGTTAACTGGCTTTGTTTCTGTGATGAAAGGTATCACAAAATGGTCTCTAGTTTGCCGAGAGGGTTTTCTGCGTAGATATGACCTAGTAATTGAATTGCTGGGTGCTGTATAAAGTACTCTCGTATGCCAAATTGAAACGACAACCAGTTCATCCCACTGCTCAATTTCTAGCGAGAGTCCGACATGGAAAGCCATGTGAGTACGAGCAGCTCCGCTTCTAAATGTGACTTCCCTGTGGAAGTTGAACTCCAGAAGTGGAGAGGAGTCTTGTTTTAGGGACTGTCGCTGAGCGTGTGCCCTGTAGGTAAGGGAACGACACAACGCATTGCAGGCTGCACGAGCTGGGGAACAGAATCCCTCCCAGTGTGTACTGATACCTTAGAAACAGCCTTGTTGATCACGCAACTGATGTCTCAATGATTTATATAGAGCCTGAATGTGGGTGCCTTTTTTGGAGTAGTGGCAGTAATAATTACCGTATCTGAAATTTCTGTTACCTAAAAGCAGTGATTTGTTTGTGCACCTTGTGAAGCCAAGGCCTAGAAATATGAAATCTCACAAATGAAGGCTTTCTAGACCATGCTGTTTGAATGAAGATAACAAGCTAAGCCTGGCACAAGCCACTCCTCCTTCCTGTACTTTTGGGAGAGTAAAGGTGGATGATCTGAATGATGCTGTATTTAAATTTCTTCTTAGCCAGAAGTGGCTAACAAAGCCTATTTAAGTTGGAAAGATGCTAGAGTTTGGTGAAGGCAGGGAAGGAACCTCCTTAGCACCAGGAAAAGGACATCAAATTCCATGTCTTTCTCAGTTTTGAGACTTGCATCTTCCCAATGAAACCTCTGTGGGACTTTAGAACATTTTCCCATTGCTTTGTACTTGGGGAAAGGGATGAACAGCTCAACTGTCTTAATAGAGCTGCAATGTTTTTTTTTTTTGTTTTTTTTCCCAGTTTCTTCCAATAGGAGGCATTTGAAATAAATGCCAGGTGTTGCTGCATTGTGTCCATTATAAGCAGCCTCCTTATTTTTTTTCCTCCCTCCTCACTCCCTCCTTCCCCCCATTTCAGCCTAGTGACTGCTTTCATGTGCTCACAGCGCTGCCAGCTTGTCCGTCTCAAACCAATGCCCTCAGCATAGGGATCTTCTCCCCTTTCCAGTTCCCTGAACTCTGCACTAATAACTGTTGGTCTTACCTTACAAATCAACTAATTTTTATTCCTCTGGGACCTGGAATAGAGTTGGGAACAGAGGATGTGCCTCAATTTTAACTTCCCTTTAACCGCAGGTATTTTAGCCATGTGAGATGAGCTGAAGTGTCGGATGCACTTTATATTATTCAGGCGAAAGGGTTTGTATCAAGTTAGCCCCAAAGATGTGACTTGCAGCCATCGTGGACAAGAGGCCTCTCAGAGGCTCGTCCTGATTGTGGACCATACATGTAGTCACACTCATAGTAGAAAGTTAGAACTGAAGCTTTGACCTGTGGAGCTCAGCTTGCTGAGAAAAGTAGTCAAAGAAACAAGCCCATCAGTCCCTTTGCTTATGGATCACTGATTTAAATTGAGAGTGTTGGCATCTGCCTCTAATGTAAATTTCCTTGATAAGCATTCATGCCTATATGCAAACCTGCAATGTTTATCAGCTGTGCAAATTTCTCCCTTCATCTTCCTTTATTTAGCTAAAGCAGCAGCAGCGGTGCTTGTGCTTTGCCTGTTGCACAACTCCTGGTGTGGTTCCTCTGGTGCTCGCCATTCCTGCAGGACCTCAGTGTGCACATTCAGCAGCTGCTGCCTGTGTTACATTCCCCTTTTGTGGTGATCGCTTGCACAGGTCCTGTTTATTTGCATAGAAACCTGGCAGGGTATTGACACCTTTTGGTGGGGGAAAAAAAAAAAAAAATCACAAACCTGTTATAACAAGCAGAGCCCATCTTGCAGTAAAGCAAAGCAGCTTGGTGACCTTGACTATTCTCCATGTTTAATTATAACCTAGCTGCTTTACCCAGGCTTCGAGATGCTATTTTCTAGATTGGGGGGGGGAATTTTTTTTTTTTAAATTCCCTGAAATTCCTAATTAGATTTCACATGTCTGGTTCTGAACTTCAAGTCCCTGGGCTACAAACAAGTTCTTTGTGTTCTCTCTGTGCTTAGGAGCATGAATAGAAAAAGCGCATCCAAGTCAGAAGGGTGTATGACGCTATTGCTGTGCCTGTGTCATGGATGCATTCGAAGGGCCAAAAGATACAAGGCTCAGCCTTGTAGAGCAGTGAGAGAGAGAGGGTGGTCACCCTGACTTTAATGTGGATATGCCACAGCTTGGACCATAATCTGTGATAGACAGCTTGACCTTAGATGTACTATAGATGTTCCTTCTTTCTTTCTTTCTTTCTTTCTTTTTTTTTTTTTTTTTTTTTTTTTTTTTTTTTTTAATTACATTCAAGAGCTAAGGAGCAGGCAAGGAACCGTAAGGCTGGATCTTGGCGAGAATTCAGTTACGTTTTTCCTCTGTTACTTAAAGATTGAGTCAGGGGATTTAATTTTTGTTGTTGGCCACTGTCTGTTCAAGACGTGGCTTCTGGCTGGTGTTACTGTAATGGAGGCACATCAACTTTGCTTCTTATGGTAGCTCAGAGAAATTTTCTTAGGTCTCAGTCTGGCAAGGGCCATCAGTTAGGAGTTTTAATGGCCCAGGCTGTGACTCACTCCATTGTATTCAGCATTATTTAAATGGGTGTAAGGTAACACCCTAATCTCTGCAGGATCACTGTCTTGGAGAGACTGGTTTTCTTTACGTGACATGATAAGAAGTATTGCTGCGCAGATAAGATATCGAAGTGTTTTATACCTGTCTTTACAAACCTAGTTTGAAAACAAAAAAAAAGAGATGGGTAAAATAATCCACTCAGGATAAACTTCTTTAAATACCTTTCGATTTAAAGGGATAGCTTTGATAAGTCTTGTTGGAATACTATCCTATTTCTGTATAAATCTCCTTGCTTAAACATACTTAAATAAGAAGAGCAGAATGAACAAGTAATTGAGGAAACTTAATGTCAAAATAATCTTCCTCCTACTGGTGCGTGTTCCTGTTACGTAAGTTAAAGTAAGCTTAAATGTTTTCTGTGTAGGTAGCTATCGAATCACATGAAAAATGTGGTTGATTAATACAGTGTTCTCCCTCATGCATGTGACAACTTGCTAAGTACTTTCACTTGCATATTCCTGGAAAAATGGGGGCTTCCTCCAGGGGAGTGTTCTGTAGGCTGTTTCGGATTTCTTCAGTAAGAGAAGTGATGGGGGTACAGATGTAACGCTTTCACTGAAAAATAAGGAGCAACAATACAGCAATATTGTCAGCATGTTACCTCTTCTGCAAATTCTCTGTCTGTGTATCCTTGAGAAGACAGAATTTTCCCAATGTAGGTGTCTTATTCCTCATGCCTGTGCATAACTGTGACTTTTGCTGACCTTAGTGCATGCTCTGTTTGCACGTGGAAAAGAGCACAGATTTCTTAGCAGATCCTGACTCTGTTCTTCTGTACAAAGCCTTTCATAAGGGCAAAACCAAATGATCCTTTTCCTTGTTTATCTTTTCCAGTTGCCTGTGTCTGGCAATTTGATTGACCTTTATGGCAACCAAAGCATGCCTCCTCCAGGACTAAACATCAGCAACTCATGTCCAGCTAATCTTCCTAATATAAAAAGGGAGCTCACAGGTAAATATGTCTATAATACCACCTTGGAGCAATAAGATAATTGTTTTGAATTCGGGTGATATTGGACATAATTTCTGTTATGAGAAAGAATATATGGATGGATAGTTACTTTTTGCTTTATGGACCATCTTTTTTAGCAGATGTATTGGCCTGCAATGTAATTGTATTCATATGCGGGCATGTGTGTGTTCACTGTGGCAAATAAAGTCCCTAGCTGTTACAGTGAAATCTGCACATGGAAAACATTGTGCCCCAGGAAGCTTCCATACATCTCTTGCAGAGCTGTTTTCTAGTTTGGGCTTATTGTTTGCTCTATCAACAGCAAACTGTAACAACTTCACATCTGGAGTCTCTGTGGGTTTTGTGTTGAGGAATGCTACGTGTTGAGGCTTTACTCTAGTAGGGGAGGGCAGTAATGAACAAATACCCTGTTGTAATATGAAATCTGGACACCTAGATCCTGTAAAATATAAAATTAGACAGTCAAGAGACAGGATATGTATCTCTTAAATTAAGATGAAATGAAGTATCCTGTATATTTTCTGTCATGTCGGTTCTTCCAGCAGTGCTCTGAATAAGCCATGGGAGGCAGGGAGAGGGAAGGGGGACATTAAAAGCTTCTTTCTCTCCAACACCTGTGTACAGAAGCTAAATAGCTTGAAGGAAGAAATAAGTTCCCTATTCTTGAGCACGTTTTGGTTTTGCTGCTCTGCTTCTCTTGAAAGGATATAACCACATGTAGGTTACAAGACAAGCTTGTCCACAAGAGGAACAAATGGAGATGCATTCTAGAACCGATGACAAAATCATCTTAATACCCAGAAATGGCTGTTCTTAAGCCCAACAGGGAGTCACACTGTGTGCAGTACGGTAGAGGCGTAGTTTCTTTCTTGTCTGTTGTCTTTCTGGGTTTCTGTTGTGAAAACTCACAGGCTGACTCAGTTGCAAAGCAGGTTCTGGGCAGGAATTAGTTTAAGTAGAGCAGTTTTAATAGCCCAGGAATCAGCTTCTCAAGAGGAAATGCCACATCTCTGAGCTGGCGCATTATTTGCATTTATATGACTGCACAAAATTTGAGTTGAGCACCAAATGAAGACACACAAACTGCACAATGATTTGTGGCTGCTAGAAAAAGAAAAGCTTGTACAGCAATGGAACGATGTTAGGAGGGTGGGAGGGGATGAGAACTACTCCAAGTCCTGCATTACAGACAGTTTCATTGCACTAATTATAGAAAGTTAAAGGTGCCTGTAGACTGCAAACCTAACCATCCAACTTGTCGGCTGTCCAGGCTGGTGGATTCATTGTAGACGGTTGTGTAAGACCTCAAGCAAATAAGGCAGAAAGAGAGGGGAAATCAAGTGAGTGAAGTGGTTTTATGGATGTCAGTACATCAAAATAGACCTGAACTAAGTTAAATGTCTATACGCTACATTGGCCTGTACACAGAAACAATTTAGATGAGTGCTTGTTCTGTTCAAAATATACCCTAGCAGATTACATTTAATTTAGGAGAGGTTTAGAAACTAAACTCAAATTTAACAGCAGTCACTTTGATCTGGCCGAGCCTTTGAGCAGAAAGCAGTATTGATGGTGCTTTCTGACAGCCAGCGGTTTTAAAATCGGCATGGTATTGCAGGCAGGAGTCTCTTGGTTCCCCATTTCCTGATTCTGCTGCTGGAACTAGGCTGGAGAGAGCTTCCGATATTTAAATCTAGCATTTGTTAGAAACCTTTCTCCATCCTTCTGTATAAACATCAAAATTATGAAGAACCAAGAAAAGTCAAGTCTATTATCCCAGCGATGTTGATGATGGTTGTGAGTTCTCAGCTATAGTTAATGAAGCATTTAATGGAAATCCTGCTTGCCCAGCAGTGCACTTTCCATCGGTTTTGGCCTTACAAACCTCGTATCTGTTTCATAAGGCAATGTCAGATTAAGCCTGAATTTCATTGAGATGTGCAATAGTCTTTCAGGCTTTTTTTTGGGACCCTTTGGGAGCCTGGCATAGAAGATGGCTTGTTATACTGCATGTAATATTGGGGTAGCTCTGTATTCTGCATAGTGAAGTAGTCAACTTCTAGTACTCCAAGGGAAACCCTTATCACCTGTGGTTTGAAGTGGGTGGGACATAATCCGTATTCCATAAAAAGAAAAGAATACAGGAAAGAAACTTGTTGGAATGAGTGAGGGGGTTCGTTTCCGTAATGGACTGTGTGATAATAAATCACATGTTCACATGTCCTCACTAACTGGCTGCAAAACTAAATCATGCTTCTTGGTTTTGAGATTGAAATGCAACAGGGCAAGGATTAATGACCTCACTCTTTTTAAAAACTGAAAGGGATAGAGCAAACAAAAAAAATAGTTAAAATTACTTGAGAAATTAAGTTCAAATGAGAACTGAAAATAACAAATCTAGTTATGCTTTTGGCTGAACTATTGCATGATAAAGTCTGATGATAAATGTGTGGAGCAAGGTTAAGAACAGTTCTGAGTTGAGAAGACAACTGATGTGCAGCATCATTGTCGTTATTTTTCTTTTTGCTTTTCCTGAGGCAAGGACCATCGTTTTCTAACAGTATTGCTGATACAGGTGTTGAATTTTTCATCTTTTTTTTCCATATAATGAGAACAGTTAGCATAGCTGGAAAATACAGTACTGTTTAATAAGTCGCTTAAGTTGAGCCTTACGGTGATGTGCATGCGCGTGCCGGAGAAGGACGCAGCCTTAATTCCGGTGAGTAGAGCCTCTGACTCCTGGCTGCTTCACGTCCTGTGCAGGTAGCAATGCAACAAGCATGCTGTTCCTCTGGTTCAGCTTCTGCACGCTCCGTAAGCGCGCTGGCTGTGTGTAAACGTAGAAGGTATGCTGGATTTCAGCAGATTGTTGTCCTCAAATACCTTGCTGAATCAGGGCCTCCGTGGGAAAGGTTCTTGTCATGGAAGTCACTGTGGGAGGTGATGCTCTGCAGGTGCAGGGGTGACATTCAACACCAGCGTTGTGTTTTGGCAGTCACAGCTTGCTGTTACAGGCCCTTCTCACCCGTTGGAATGGGCGTAGTAATTGGTTTGACAAATATCGATCAGGCTTCCTGTGCAAATGTTTCACAGACTGAAACGTTGTGTTTGAATTACTTTAATTCTAATTACTTCATTCACATGCACAGCATGTATTTTTCCTACAGAGTCAGAAGCGAGAGCGTTGGCTAAGGAGAGGCAAAAGAAAGACAATCACAACTTGAGTAAGTTCTGGTTCTTCGCGTTTTGCACCAATTGTAGTAATGATTTTAGGCATTAAGTGTTCGAATGCTGATGTTTTAAATCTGAATGAGACACTTCACATAGTATGTAGTACCAGTTCAGTATGTTTTGCCCATAGATCAAATATCTTGAATTCTTGTGAAATGTGTGCTTAAATCTAGTATTGAATTTTAAACTCTTATTTTATTTTTTTTTTTAATAAGCCAAGTGAACGAGTGGTTTTTATCAACGGAATTACTGGGAACCACATTTGATCCAGTTGCTTTTAACAAATCCATCTTGCACAATTTTTCCCCCCCCCTTTTTTTAATTAGTCTATAATCTTAGATATATGGTCAATTTGTGACTTTAAAAATCAGTGTGTGTCCTTAATGTGGCAATTTTATAAATTCCATTTTTGAAGGGAATGCATATTTCCAAGTTGGAAAAAAGCTTTTTACAACAACAAGCATCTTATGACTTAAAGGATCCTTACATTGTCCTTTTATACTTTATATTACTAGAAAAAAGGAATTGTTTCATGCCTTGAGCTATTCAGAAGCCTTTTCCATAGCATGAAAAGCTAATGCAGGAAAATTGGTATTTAAGTTTGACTTCTGGATCCTCAAACTTTAGCACCTGCAAGGCTACTTCAAAAATGAGACTATACATTTTGTCCCTTTTCCTGCTTTCGGATTTTCTCGAGCATCTAAATTTTTGTCTCTGGATTTGTCTGTGATGCTTTTCCCTAGGAAAACCTTTGCTTCTCAGTTGAGTCCTGTGCTAACACAGCCATCCTGGATTTTAGTCTGAGTTTAACTCTGCCACTGCAGCAGTCCCGCATTTTTACAGTATAGACAGAGTTTCTGTCTTAGTGTGTCCACATGTAGGCGAGCGAAATAAATTACTCTGTCACTGGGTTTTAAGTTTCAGGAGAACATTTCAAAGGCACTTAAAGAAATCTTTGATGAAACACATTATATGTTGCAATTAAGTGTGAATATTACTTGTAACATTTGTGCTGTTTTTCCTTAAGTTGAACGAAGAAGAAGATTCAATATTAATGATCGTATAAAAGAACTGGGCACTTTGATACCCAAGTCAAATGACCCGTAAGTATAATGCGCCCGAGGAGACTGTGGGAGGGAAGTGTTAAAAGGAAAATAAAAAAACCTTAGGGGAGAAAAAGGATTTACAAAAAAAAATCAGGATTTTTTTTTTTCCTTGTATGACCTTGGCACTCCACGACTGTAGAAATGCTTGAAGATTCCGTTATATTTTTTGAAGACTGTTTTGGGGGTTTATTTTTTTCCTTTTGGGAGCTTGCTTAAGTTTGTATTAACTTGATTATTTTTGTCACAAAATAGTCAGGGTACTGCCATGCAGCAGCTCAGCATCTTGCAGGACCCTGTGCTTTGGCAGGGCTGGGGTTGATGCTAGGAACTCTGCCTTACCAGAGGTGGAGTTGTCAGGATGTGAAGCCTTAGGCCAGTCTTGCTGCTTAGCTGCGTGCCCAGCTGCTTGTCTTGCTAAATGATTCTTTTAATTTCTTAGATGTCATAGCTTGGCAAGACAGAACCAATCTCTCTTTCTGTGAAAATGGAGGGCAGTTCCTCTGGGAAGCCATCACATTCCCCTTCCCTCCAAGGAAAAAGGAAAATAAAGAGCATAGCTGTGTATCTGTTCACTGATAATTTGCCAGTGTTTGTGGTAGTTTCCAAGTAGTTCTTTTAGGTAATTTTACTGTTACTAACTTGTCTTAACTTTACCCAACACTGATTCAGTAGCAAGGAACCCCCCTTTGCTCTGCAGCTTGAAAGTTTCACTGAATCAATACCCTGTGACGCTTTTGGGGAAAGTTTCTATTATTTTAAGGTAGTTGCTCATACCTACTCTTCAGAGAGGCTCTTTACTTTCCTCTAAGGCAGGCAAAGTTGCACGTTATCAACCTACGGGACAGGTGCATCTTTGGTCTCATAGTCTGTACTAAACTTTTTTTATTTAAACCAAGTAAGATGATGTGGAGGAGAAGACGATGCAGGCAGCCTGTGTCTCTAAAGCGGGTGGGGAAGGAATGATGTGGGAGAAGAATTATGGGAGCCATGTACCCCCAGACTGAAGAGCCAGCACCCTGAGGCTGCAATGAGGCATTTGTATTTAATCCAGAGTTTAACTTTAGAGCACCTGAATATGCTGCTGGATTGGGCTCTTCTCTTCCTACCGTAACACCGCTGTGATACAGTGCCACCAGGAGGACTAATGCTTCCTGCGTCCTGGGGGCTAAAGGGCCTCAGATCTTTCTCCCACAGAAAGACCAGGTCATATATGGTCCTTTTAATTCCCTGGTTGAAATCGGGCATCACCCAGATAGCAAAACCGTGCGATGTTTAAGAATAGTCTTGTGGTGTTGGGTTTATTTTTGTTGTTGTTGTTGTTTTCTTGCAGCCTTGCCAGAAGGCAACGAAAGGAGCCCCTGGTCTTCAGTTGCTCTGCACGGTGCTGGTCCCAAACTGTGCAGAAGGCAGGGGGTTGGTCCTGGGGGGGCTGCGGGGAGCCGGGGCAGCCACGGGGCAGCCCCTGGGCTCTGTGCCCTTCAGCCGGGCTGGGGCTGGTTGCAGTCTGCTGCGCAATAGCTGCACTCTGGCCCCCTCTAGTGCATTTCAAATACCTTCTGCATGCATAAACTTGGAATAAATACTAGCCAGGCGTTATGTATATATGAGCTGTAATTATAGCTGCTGATGTGAAGGTAATGCCTATAAAATAAAGCCTCCCCGAGAGCCTGAACTCCTCCTTTTTTGTTGATTTCAAAGGGATATGCGCTGGAATAAGGGAACTATTCTAAAAGCGTCAGTGGACTACATCCGTAAGCTGCAAAGAGAACAGCAACGCACGAAGGAGCTTGAGAACAGACAGAAGAAGTTGGAACATGCCAACAGGCACCTGCTGCTCAGAATACAGGTTTGCTTGATAAATAAGCTGCAAATACTCTTGATCTTGCAGTGTGTGACTGCGAGTAATGGTAACTGAAGCTCGTTTGTAGGAATGCGGGTTAGAGGAACTACTGTTTTAATAAATGGTGACCAATGCTGAGATGTCTGCAGAGATTTTTCCAGAAAAACAACCCAGAATACATTAGTTTAAAAAAAAAAAAAAATTAAAATCCCAACGCTTTAGTAAAGCACTTAGGGCTGGTCTGGTTTTGTTCTGCTTTGACCAACATAAGTTGCAAACCATACTATAAGAAAGAGTTATATGGTAATGGATTTTTTTTGGGTGCCAGACCTAAGGAATTAGGACTTCATATATGATTTATTTGTTGATAGCGATCAAATTCAGTTCAACTGTTTGGGAGTACGTTCATTTTAGTTTTCTTGTTTGTGGAGTTTTTTTGATCTGTAGCTTTAGTGCTTGTTTTCTTCTGCAACAATTTCACATGAATGGCAATAAATGAAGTCTCTTTGTTTTGCTTGTGGGTTTTCTAAATTGTGTGGGGATCAATCTAGGCCCTGTCTCTCAGAGCAGCTCTACAGATTGCAGTCTTCTACATCTGATCTCTTATTCCTTTTTGCAATCAGCCTCTCCCTTATGCTCTGCAGGAATCTGTCATCTGCTTTCTGGTGGAGGGTACACACTGCTCGCAGGACAAAATGAGCAGGGAGGGCAGTATTGGTGACAGACACTGCAGCACCATATCTTGAGTTCCCCATAGGTATCTTGGGGACTGACAGCTGTATTTCGTGTTGAGGCTGCCCTGGCTTGTCTGAGAGCCGTTGCAGAGAATCTCACCTCATGGGAGCGCTCCAACAGTTTTTGCAGCAAGACAGCCAAGAGCTGTGGATGTTGAGCTGCTTTTTTTTTTGTCCAACGAGCTATGGTTGGTTGTCTTCCTTGTTCCTTGAAGTCTGTAGGGACTGTAAAACAATTCTCAATACTGAAAAGCAGTAGGTGGCACGAATATGTTTTTGCTATGAGTTGTTGCCCTGTTAGATTCACCCAGGTTCCCGGTAGCCTGTATTACACAGATTTAGGGGTGGGAACTCATAATTAATTCCTTTGCCTTCGCCTCAAGGTGGATAGGAAGCCTTAGCCTTGCAGCCTACACAACTTTTGTTGTCAACTCTGTTCTCCGGCTGGGCAAAGATACCTGGATATCCATCCCTTTCCATGAAAGGGTAATTAAAGAAGTATACCTACAGTTGGGTGTAAGAACAGGTAACGTGGAGACAGTGATGGAGCAGCCCGTCACGCCTGTGCGTCCCAGGTGCTCTCATGTTGCTCCTTGCCTGCAGTGCCAACAGCTGAGCTCTGCGTGCAGGCTGCAGCGTGCCAGGCTGGCTGCTGTGTCCGGCAGCCCCGAACAACAGCACGGCTAATCCCCAGAGTAGATAATGAAGCTAGAAATACCTGAGAGTCAAGTGTGGAAGTAAACAGTTTTAAATTGGAACGGGCTGTCTCGAGCTTCAGCGCGGTTTTTGTACTTGGAGCAATCTGTTCACTAAAGGGAGGCGCTGAAGACGCGTGACCCTTCTGCAGAGGAACGTCAAGCAGTGGTATTTCAAAGCTAAGTCAGATCACTTTTTAAGCATCTTTCATCTTCCTTTGCATTATCCATCTGCTCTGGCTCCTTCTTCAATCACAATAAGATAAAAACCAGACCCTTGAATAATGGGCAATACATCTGGCAGCAAATAACCTAAACCCCGTATTTTCCCTTTTTGTGTTGATTCTGATTAAGCACAGAGTAAGGAACTCCTGATTTTGGCATGTTAGCCAATGTAAGAAGTGCTTCCTTCTTCCACCTTCTCCACTGATCTCTGTGTGCCATTACAAGCGTGTTGTCCTAGCTTGAAAACGGAAAAAAGGCTATTAATCAGCCTTGATAGGAATATCCAGAAACGGTGCAATCACAACAGTGATTGTGATTGCCTGATACAATGCATGAGTAGAAGCAAAACATCTCTCTTACTGCTGCATTTAAAAAAGGGCATTTAAGTGAATTCTTCTATTACCCGTCTTCAGTCAAGTGCATCTATGTGATTAAATGCGAAGGTGGGATTTAAACTTTTCATGAAGATTCAAAGAATCCTGGCTGTGTGTGAAGTCTAAAGCCTTCCCGTGACTTGTTGATAATTTTCCAGTGCAGGAGTAGTGTGGCTCAGTTTTGCCTGACTTCTTTACTTCCAGCTCTACCAGGCTTGTAGAATGAGAAATGTCCCTTCCAGCATCTCGGGGGGAAATGACGAGCATCATGTAGACATGCTATGCCTTCGCATAGGATTTTTTAAAAAATACTAGGTGGACACTTATGCTACTGTAGACATGCTATGCCTTCGCATAGGATTTTTTTAAAAAATACTAGGTGGACACTTCTGCTACTTATTTATCTTTTTTTTTTTTTTCCAACTTTTAAATGCTTTCCTCACCTGACCTGATGCCAAACTTGCCTGCTGCAGTACTGGTTTGAGAAGGAGCCCGAGAGGGAGCGTTTCCTTTCTGCAGGGTGCTGGGTTTTGGTTCTGGTGTAGGTTCTGAGGAGAAGGGGGAAGGACCCTGTGTAGGGTGGTGTTTACCCACCTCTTTGAGACTAACGTTCAGGTGAAAATCTGCGGGGCAGAAGTGTACAAGGTGCAAGCACTTGTCGCTACTGGAAAGGGAGGAAATGGTTTGTGTACAGCAGAAGGAAAGTGTAAGTCGCGGTACACAAGAGCATTAATGGCAGCGTTAGGTTAATGATTGGACTTGATGATCTTAAAGGTCTTTTCCAACCTAAACGGTTCTGTGATTCTAAGAGCATAAGATGACAGATTTTGCTTTCAAAATTTGTTTGGTTGGTTTTTTTAAATTTGTCCCTTATCCTCCTTCACAGGAACTTGAGATGCAAGCTCGGGCACACGGACTGTCCCTTGTTCCATCTACAGGCCTTTGCTCCCCTGATATGGTCAACAGGGTCATCAAACAGGAGCCTGTGCTGGACAACTGCAACCAAGACATCATGCCGCACCACACAGACCTGTCTTGCACTACCACCCTCGATCTCACCGACGGTACCATCACCTTCAGTGACAACCTCGGAAATGTGACTGAACCGACTGGTACTTACAGTGTTCCTGCAAAAATGGGATCCAAACTGGAAGATATCTTGATGGACGATACCCTCTCCCCTGTCGGAGTAACTGACCCGCTACTTTCCTCTGTGTCTCCTGGAGCATCAAAGACAAGTAGCAGGCGGAGCAGCGTGAGCATGGAGGACACCGATCATGCTTGTTAGCATATACTTGGCACACCTTTCATAAACTGTTTTGTTTCTTGATCAGTAGATTAAATAATTTACCTTTTGTAGAATTTTTGATTTTTTTTTTTTCCTTGTGCTTCATCAGTAGCCCTGTGTGTGTGTGTGTGTATATATTATATATATATAGGATTTTTTTTTAGAATTTTTGTGAAGAAACTTGTATATTCTATTTTAAAACTACCAATGCCTCCAAAATATTGTACAGGATATGTACAGTATCTGTGAACTGGATTCGCCAAGAACTTGGAACTGGTCAAATCTACTTAAAAGCAATAGAATTACAAATGAAGAATCTGTTTCTACTGGGGGGAGGGAGGAGTCGTAGAATTGTAAATGCAACCTATTTACTTGGAAACAAAATGTAAAGTTAAAGAATGTAAAGAAACCAAAAAAAAAAAAAAAAAAAAGAAAAAAAAGTCCAATTTGTAATTGTATTAATTGAATAGTGCTGCCTTAAAGATACAGTGTCCCTCAAACGTTGGTCTTCACATGACAAGTGTTTAGGGCAAAATACCCACCCTACTCCACTCGGAATACAAAGAAAAAAAAAGTGTTAAGACATCCTGATTGTGCTGACTGTGCTATAAAATGCTGTTGCTGAAAATTGCAGGGAGACGCGAGTCTCTTCCTCAGAGTGCCGATTCATTTTACTCTGAGCTGATTTGGGTTTTCCTTTTGATCATGGTTCGAGTTTTTCCTCTTGGATTTTTATTTTGTTTTATAACACACGTTGATGGCTTGCCAACGGTAAACCGAGCAGGAGCGCTGGACGTTGGTGTATGCTCTTTGAACAACCAAACAAAAATTGAGACATTTTATCAGCTGGGCACATTATGTTGTACATATCTAATTGGCTTTATTTTTTTTTTTAAATTGCATTGTACAGTTTATTTTGATTTGCATGGATTCCTTAGTTATCCTCAACTTTTTGTTTTAAATATATTTGTATTTCATTTGTAAGATTTTTGCCTCTTAATATTGCAACAATTTTTTGACATTTTTAAAACTCATTGGAAGTTTTCTGCGTTCTTTGTAAACACTTGAAAGGAAGCTTTTATGCAGGGTTCTGTGTTTTAAGAGAGATTTTGAGAATATTTTGTATATTACAGTCACTTTGAAAATGTTTTTAAACACATTTAAGGTAGAGTACAAATTTAGATTAGGTAATAAAACAGCTCTGTAGAGAAACTGAACTTACATATTTATTTTTAGTGATACAGAAAAAAGTAGTAATATGCTTGGAAACATAACTATGTAGTTAATATACCCGTTATAGTAATTTGTGTTTTATTTCAGCACTGGGGCTGATATAAGAAAAAAAAAAAACCAAACAAAAAAAAAAAAGAGTAAATTACTGTATCTGCAAATAACTGTTACTTGATAACAATGTTATTAATTTTTAACATGCAACAACGTTGTAAAAGTAGTTCGGTGCATTATCTACTCAAGTGTAGTCCTATGCAATAACGGTAGTTATACTTGTATTATATCAAGCCTAGGTGTTTTACAGAGGTGGCGCGTGGTGTTTCGAGCTGGAGGGGTTGGATGGATTCCTCAATAGCAGCCTACAGCTGACTCGCAAGCGGCAGGCAGGCGTATCTCGTTCGGAATGAAGTGCCTTAAACTCTAGTTGTAGTCTTCCTCGACTAGCACTGACTGAAGTGTGGCATAGGAGAGAGCTTTAGGGTGATGTTCTTCTATAGGACGCTGAAGTGTAGCGTGGTGCCTACGTAAAGAAAACAAGAGCTTCCCGTTCTCCTTTGTGCTACACTGGAAATCACATAGGATCAGTGAAACGGTTCGTGACTTGAGTGCCAGTTTGGCAGGCTTCATAAGGAAACCTTGGTCGCAGCAGTCAGTGTTCGGAAATCAAATGTGAATTGGGTAGCGATGGGTCAGCTGGGGACAACGTCGGGGGTTCCTGTAGCCTGCGGCGTGGTGCGCTGGGCGTTCAACCCAAACATTTCCCTAGGGAAGGGTTCTTGAAGCGTCCCCTGCCTGGCACCGCTCCCCCCGGCGCCGATGTCGACGGGCGCGGGGGTCGGCG